TGAGATTAATGGTGTTAATTTTCTTCATGTTTTTCTATCATGTTTTCTACCATGATCGTGTATTACTTTCCCATTAAAAGTGCTTGGCAGATTTTTACTTTAACAATTTTGAAATTTGTCTTTTGAATTTTCAGTAAAATTTTGCAGATTTTCAGTAAAAATGAAGCAGGAATTAATATAATTCCCATGTCATAATTAGTATTATGTCATTGCTTCTTTTGCTGTATTCTTATTTATATATTCTTTTAAAATCTGTTTACCTGTTTTTAGCCCCATGATTCGTAGTTGCTTTAATAAATACATGTTGTGTTTGTGATTATATGGTAGTATTTGCTGAATGAAAAAATGGTAATTTATTGACATTAAATATATAAGCTGCTCTAGATAAGTAATTAATGATTTATTTAAACAATGACTCTTGACAGGTTCAGTGGCCAAGAACTTCTTCACTAAATCAAAGCTTTCCATTCCAGAACTCTCCTATATATGGTAAGTACAATTAATGCTAAATGGTATGATACTGTTATCCATATTCATCCATTAGCTCCTCCTGTTGCCTTTTACAAGTCTTATCTTTTGAATGTTTTTCTAACAAAGTGAAAGAGTGAATAGAATTTAGATTTTTGTTGCTGTTAAGATTAAATAAGTTATTATATGAAAAGCACACTATATGTTAGCTGTTATTAAAGAGTAATTTCTTATCCTAACGTAGATCCCTTTTAAGTATTAGCAATCGTGTGGGCATATGAGAATTTCTACCTTGCGTATTTTATTTTCAGATTTTTCTACTTGTCATGCAAATAACCAGAGGACCTTGAAAAGCTATTCTTTATAATATTTTATGAGGCCAGGTTAACAGAAAGTCCACAGATGTTTTCAAATTAAGTTAAATTTGACTATTCTAGCTGCCTCCAAGCTTCATAAATTCAGCTGGTGTTTATCAGCTGGGCCCTAATTCAGACTTGTAGCCCTGGCGTGCACTGCATCTTGCTGTGAGCTGGCCACCGCCCTGGCTCTAGAAGGGCTGTGCCGGGACAGTCCAGGGGGCCCCATTTGCATTTGTGGAAATGCTCACTGTCTCCATACACTCCTGGCCGCCTCTGGGCTGTTATTCCTCACGACTGGGTGGGAGACCGTGCTGCTATAAATATATAATTAAAACATTGGATTATGTAGGCAAAACTTTTTTTTTCACAAGGATTTTCAAAAATTATGATAGCATTTAAAATTGCTCATCATGTTTTTTGCATTTTATTGGAAAACTATTACAATAATCCTGTGCGTGCCCAGGTACCCAGGATTCTCAGCCAGATGTATTCTTCAGCAATATATTCTAGCATAACTCTTTTACAGCAAGCCTTTTCTTAGATTTTAAAGCTGGGAAAAAAATTATTTTCAAAAGAATACAATGCATTTTGGCAGAATTCCCAGTCTTAACCATAATTGGCATGAGGCTTCTGTCTTTTTGTTGAGAACTATCTGTGAAAGCTGAATGGTACTCTCTCCATCCAGCCCTGGAAGCAGTTCCCGGATTCCTATTTGGGAGGGGGGGCTGCCATTTCAGGGCTAGTGCATTCTCGATATTTGAGGGGGGGAGGATGCGAATGGCCCAAAGGAAAGTAATGGAGTTTTTTACCTTTGATATTTTTTTCTTCAAATAGTAATACCTTTCTAGTACAATTTTATATGTCTTCTCACTCTGCTTGTACTAACACAAGTATACTTGTCTCTCTGTACACCTAAGAGACTGGTTGAGCTTATTAGGGTCTTCATTACTTTGGCAGATAGGTTTCTTTTGTGCTGAGTAAATAGGTCTGTGCCTTTCAGTGGAAAACAATGACTGAAGCAAAGATAAGCCTTTTCGAGACTCTCCCTTTCTTTCTTTCTGTCTTATCTGGTTCCAGCCTTCCCTAGTTGCTAGTTTTATCTGAAAACATTATTCAACCAGTATTTATTGAGCTTACTTACATTTTCCCAGGAGGGAATTCTCAAGCTATTTTTTTTTTTTGATACAACATTTATGTGACTTGAAAAGTTCAAGGCTTTTCCTTAAAGCTGAAAAATGCACTGCTTATTTCTGAGCGCTGGTAACTGTATAATGGCCGGACCAACTGAAGAAGAGTTGGGGCCAGCCCTTCCTCTGACTGTTTGGAGCACCAAGTCTGGAGCTCTTCACACCGTGCGTTTACTGAACGACTATCACCTAACTGTGAAATCCTGGGCATCATTTTACTTTTTGTGCCATAGTTGCTTGTCTTGCGTACTCAGCATTGTAAAACAGACCTACCAGAGAACCTGAAGAATTAAAATTTTTATTTATAAAATGCTACCAATGCCAATGATGTAAGTCATTTTTCTTCCTCCATGTGGCCCCCTGAGATTTCACGTGTTTTGGGGACCCTGCAGGGCCACACCAGAGAGCTTGGGAATTGTTTGCCTCTTTGAGGCTGAGTAAAATTACCTCTAAGCCCCATGTTAGCTACTCATGACATCTGTTATATTTAGGGAACTTAGTGATGCTGACTGTGATGGTGCCCTGACCTTGCCTGAGTTCTGTGCTGCATTTCATCTCATTGTGGCCCGGAAGAACGGCTATCCACTGCCGGAAGGCCTCCCTCCAACTCTGCAGCCTGAGTACCTACAAGCAGGTGAGGCCTCATCGTATATCCTAAACCTTAGGCATTTTCCATCCAAACCTTACAAGAAACTTTTCGTTCTTAAATGGTGTCCAGACACTTTGGGGGAGTCCTTTGTATCTACAGTTATAGTCTTTTTACCAATATTAGACTTTCACACCTTATAAGTAATGGGATGATCTGGGTGTAAGTCATCTGTTATTCCCATTCTAGTGTTCTCTGGACTGATTCGAACCAAAGTCACTTACCCTTTCATGAAAATTGTGCCGTAGGCAAGTACTAAATCTCCTAGTTGATATAAAATGAAGAAGAAGAACTTCTTGTACAGCCAAGTGCTGACTTGGCTTCTTTAGGCATGTCCCACTGTTCTCATGTGGCCTTGGGCAATGAAATGAAATAGAACTCTTATACCTAGTGAAAAAGCTAAAAAATCAAATGCAGTGAAATCTGCAGTGCTGTAATCTTAAATATACACTTGATGGATTTTTACGTTTGTATACACTCATGTAACTGCAATTGGATAAAGATCGAGAACATTCTAGCATACCAAAAGGTTGGAATAGAACTCTCTTGTCTTTCTCTTTGATAAAACAGTTATCCTACAAACCTTTGGATAGGAAAAAGTCATGGCGATCCAACGTTTGCATCAGTTCCTTTGGAAGATTGGACAAATTAACAGTGTCTCTTGCCATTTTCAGAGGCAGTGGGCAGTGATCTGATTTCTGTATAGCTCCCATTGACAAGGTCCAGAGATAGCTGGTGCTTTCAGCAACCTTTCTCGCTTTTTAGGCAAAGTCTCTTAAAAATGTGACATTAGTCATGGATAATTATTGGCAAGAGGGAGCAGTGTCAAAAGACAATGTGATTAGTCATTAATAGAGTATAACTTTTGTGGTTAGAGCTGGAAAAGATCTTAGATTATCTTGTCCCCTCCTCATAACAACACCACATACAAAGCGGCCAATGACTTATCTAAGTCAGTCTGGGGGTCTCTGACTCTTAAATAAAAAGTCTGTTATTTTCTGTATTAGGTAGTGAAGGGGTGGAGGGAGCTCAGCTGAGATGTGAGGGGAAGAGACCAAATATGTGGCTAGTGCCAGTGACAGGTAACCATGTTGGGGGAAGAGTGACACATTCTGGGATCTTTCCCAAATGGCTCCATAAAATGTATGAAGGGGAGGGCTCAGAGAGCAAAACTGCTACTCATTTCAGAGCTTGGACTTTGCTGATAGCAGCTGCTTTCTGATTATAACAGGCTGCAACTCCGGCCTGCTACCCTACCTGGCAGGTTGGGGGAGACCTGCATGGTTCCCCTGGAACTAGTTTGCAGTTGGGTAGCATGACAAACTACTGTTTCTACTTTGGCGTGTCTCTGTTTCCCTTTTCTCTCTCTCTCTCCTCTCTCTCTCCCCCATTCCCCCTTCCCCTAGCCTTTGGTCCCACCTCCCCCCTCTCCCCCCTCTCCCCCCTGGATTGAGGCAAAGAAGGACCAACATTCCTGGGGCTGTCTTGGCGACTGTATGGCTCCCATAACTAAGTCAGTGCAGGGTCATCCAGGAACCCTTTATCCTGGGAGTAGGGCCACATGGGGCTTTATTTCTCTAATAGGGATGAACATCTGACCAATGGATCAAGATCTGCTCTGGGCAATTTAGTTATATTTAATGCTGTCACCGTTTCCTCTTGCCAGCCCTATAGAGTCCTGTGTAAACTTCTCTCTTGTGCCTACACTTAGCTTTCTGTTTTTGGATCTCGATTAGCGGTGTTTTATTGTTCTGATACAGTATGGCCATGGAATCTATGCCAGATGTCATGACTCCTTGTTTGAAAAGTCACTTTGTAGGTATCCAAGTGTTTCATGGACTGTTTCAAACATCACTGATAAAATTTTTACAAATTTGAAAGCCCAGAGAAAAAAGTGTGTTAACAGAATAGAAGCGGCCTCTTGATTCCTTCACTGCTGCAAATAGCTGGCTTTGCCTTGCTTATGCAGTAGAGGGAAGTTTTGAAATAGCCCACCGGCCAAGGGGCATCTTCCTTCATTTGGAATGCAGCCCCTCGTTTCTTCCTGGTCTTCTGTGGAAGATGTCAGTGTTCATTTATATGGAAACAACTGAGAAATCCATCACACACCCTTCAATTAAACAAAAATTGCACATCATTTTGAGAGCTTGTGGGATTATTCTTAAATAATATTTATAGGGTTCTAACAAAAAACATGAAAGACCTCATAAAACCCCATCAAACTCAGTGACAGTATATTTTAGTCAAACCCCGAGGGTTTAGCCGTTAATGCTTTTTATCCACCCATGTTTATCTTTGTTTATAGCTCAAGAAAATGGCCAGAACTGTCTAGATCTCCTCTGTGCTTTTGGACTTTGAAATATGAGTGGTTCTGTTGATTTGGGGGTTCATTTTTATGATATCTCACTTTTTAAAAACTTAGCTCTTGTTCCAACAATTTTCTAATTGGTCTATATTCAGTCTTTTAAAAAACATCTAATCCAGTTTTTGATAAGGTTGGTGAAGAATATAAATTTAGTTTATACTCGTATGCATTCACAACTACGTATGAGCTTATTTACAATAAAATAATGAAACAGGAATTGTTGTATCTGATTTTCCTCCCACAGTGAAAATTAAAGGGCAGAATTGGAAGGAAAAGTTGGATTATTTGGTGGCTTACCCATGGGCCTTTTGATATTTTCATTTCTAGATGACTGGGTAGATTCTGGTGTAGATTTTTACTGTCGTTTGTTAAAAACATTTGAGTATTTGCTATGAGAGGCACCTTGTTATTCTCTCTGGCCAGAATGCTATATAAAAGAGAGTTCCTACCATCATGGAACTTGCTGGCAGTTAGAGGATTGATGTTAAATAAACTCACATGTGTAGTTGGAGCCATCGATAGGTGCTATGAAGAAGTGCAACTGCAGTACCACGGTGCATGACCTTGGGGAAGACGTCCTTAAATGTTTGAGCTGATATGTGAAGGATAGGGAAGAGTGGGCTCTGGCAGAGGGGACAGCAGGTATGCTGCCGAAGCCCTGAGAGGCGGCTTGGAGTAGGGGGTGGGTAATGTATCGTTCAGGCCACAGTAGCTGGAGTGCAGAGAGCTGGGGCTGGAGGGGCTGGGGAAGAGGCTGAAGAGGAAGGCGGGGAGCAGAACATGGGCAATGACCTTGATGTGTTTCAAGCAGGGAAGTGACACAGTCAGATTTGCTGTTTGGAAGGCTCATGCTGGTTGCCAACCAGAGAGCAAGGGTGGAAACCGGAAGACCAGGTTATGGGAGCAGTCTAGTCAAGAAACGCAGGGTGCTGGGACTGGAGAGGTGACGGTGGAGGTGCGGAGATGAGGACATGCTGAAAGATTTAGCAGTTAACTGATGGCATTTGTAGTTTTTGAACGTGTTAGCTTTCTGCCCAGCAAGATCCCCTTGCGCATTTGTGATACGGCATTCATTACTCATCTAATTCTAGTCAGATCACTGGTTGGTAAACTAGAAAGAGAAATCTTATCTCAGTTAAACTTGCTCTTGAGCTGGATTGAGGAATGGTACTTGGAAAGCGGTTTTGTTTTTACCAAGAAAAGAGTGAGACCTGGTATAGTCAGAAATCATCAGGGCCCGTGCTTTGCCCCACCTGCTATCAGTGAACTTCAGACCAGAGTAAGCAAGTGAACAATTTAAGGTGCTTGTACTTAACTGTCTGTAGTAGCTGTTACTCAGTGGCCAGTACTTTACTGCAGAGGGAAGTTGGCATTTCAAACCCAGGTGGGTGTGGGAGGGTGAGAAATTATTAAAAACGCCAGTCCATTTTTAACACGATTAAAATTTTTTTTTTGAAACATGGTGAAAAGGGTTCCTAGAGCTGCTTTCAACCTGTATATGTAGGCTTCCCCACACCTACAAGTAGGTTTTGGACACCAGCAAGGTGTCAATTCAAGTCAATTGTGACACTATCTGCCTGGAGATAGAATCAGAATCCACGGGTAAAGGGCTTAAGACTGCCTTCCACTTCAGATGCCAGTCTCAAGTCCAGGTAGTTACCTGCACTTCTACTTGACTGGCTACAAATCAGAGGTTTTCACAACCCTTCCTATTTAATTTGCTAGAGCAGCTCACAGGACTCAGGAAAACCCATTTTCTCACTAGGTTACTGATTTATTACAAAGGATACTAAAGGAACAGCCAGATGAACAGATACAAAGGCTGAGGTCCTGAACGAAGGAGCTTTTGTCCTTGTGGAGCTTGGGGCCCAGCACAGCGGCACACAGAAGCGTTCCGGTTCCCCAGCGGCACACAGAAGCTCTCCAAGAAAGGAACAACAAACCACCCTTCTGGTTTTGTACGGAGGCTTCTTGATGTAGTCGTGATGGACTAAGTCACTGGCCATTGGTGGTTGATTCAACCTCAAGCCCCTCTTCGTCCCCAGCAATTGGGCTGGGGCTGAAAGTGCTAATCCTCTAATCACAAGGTTGGCTCCTGCTGGCAACTGGGCTCCCGCCCTTGAGTGGAGTCCACAAGTCACCTCATTAACCTAATAAGAGACGTGGTAGTTGCTCTCATCACTTAGGAAATTCCAAGGGGTTTGGGGGCTCTGTGCCAGAAATGGGGACAAAGATCAAATATATATATATTTTTTATTATAAATCACAGTATCACATAAGGCATTGAAATTTTGGTTTCTTAATAGCTTTTCTTGACAAGTTCGATCTGTTTATTGTCTACCCCAATCTGCTTTTCCTCTTTGGAATATTGACAAATTTTCTAGTTGTTGAGACATTTCTTTTTTAATGACTTTTTTGACAAAGTGGTGAAACAATCCACTTCTAAGAAATAGCATGGCTGTTAAATATTAGCTTACCAAGTAGCATGATTTTTCCTCATGCCGATCTACCCAGCTACTCAACTAACAGCCCCTCTCCCTGTTCTATGTTAGAAGAAACCCATAAGATGATTCTTATTTCCTCTGTTATAAATCAGCAAGAACTTGTGCTCTTACTTTTGTTATTTCTGCCAACCAAAAGAAATGAGCATTTCATAAAGTTTTCTTGGGCACATATCATTATATGATCTTGTCTATTTCCTACAACAATAGCTAAAATGTAGTTGTAGTTCCTTATTTAATGTTTATAGTATTAAAACTATCACCATAGTTACTTCCATTTAAAAATTATACTAGTAGCATAGTTGAAACTTAAGTATTGTGATAGTGATGGTTAATGTGGAAAATAACTACTATGCTAGCAGGACTATTGGCAGTTTAAGTCTCAGCTCTTCCATTTACTGGCTATATGACCTTGAGTTAAATTGCTTAACTTCACGGTTCCTCAGTTTCATCATGTATAATATGGGAATGGTAGAAGTTCTAGGTTGTATATATAATGAACTGAAAATACCACCTCGGTGTGATTAGTACCATAATGAGTCAATAGGAACTAGCCGATTTTATTATATTTAACAGGCACAGAGGAGCTTTTAGAAAACAGTGCCTGCTATGACTGTAGTATATATCGTTATATTTTCTTTTTGTTTCTTCTTAGCTTTTCCTAAGCCCAAGTGGGAGTGTGCTTTATTTGATTCTTATTCTGAGTCAATGCCAGGAAACCAACAACCCCGTGACTTGAATCGGATGGAGGTAAAAGATCTTCATATGTTAATGAGTTAAGGATGTGTGTAGAATTAAATCTATTAGCTTATGTTCTTTACAAACTGTAAAATCCACTTTTCTGACATATTCTCTTCATACTTAGTACTTTGAGGCTCAGCCTTTCAGATTCAGATACCTGATATATCTATAATTATCTTTTTATCCCTTTTCTCTCTAAAACTGGATTTGGTGAAACAAGAAAAGTTGTCTCTTGACTTTCTAGAGATGAAATTGAGGTAGAAAAATGCTAGCCAAGTTATTTACTAACCAAGTTTTAATTCTGAAGTAACCATTGTAAAGTTGTATTTTTAGTAGCTGAGTATTAACAAGGTATAATGAACCAGAGCAATTTGGAGAGGAGGTTTGAGAACTATATGTGAAGGCCCCAAACCACATTTAAAGCTGCCTTCTCCCTCAGGGTTTTTAGCTTTTGGACCAAATGAAGACTGATTTGGATGGTCCCGAAGGGAACCCAGAGAATTGCCACCATGGTGGGCCATTGATGTAGGTAGGGGCTTAGCCACGGGCTTAGTGGTCCTTCGGTGCGCATCAGTAAATAAGAGTTGTTATGGTTATTGTTAATTTCAGCACTGTTGTCATCATCATCATTATGATTGCTATGTGATGATAGCTTATGGTATCTGCTGTTCCTGTCCTAAAAAAAAAATCTGGAAATGTTTAATAAATGGAGGTTTATTCATAGGCTTCCATTACAGTTCTCTGATCCTAGTTAAAACTGTTGCAAGATAATAGAAGTCAAAGGTAGGATACCGGGCCGTTTCTTTAATGTCTTGTAACTGTGTGTGATTATTTATTCTTTCACATGAAGCCCTTGTATCTACTGTGTTGTAGATGACATTCTCTGTTCCTCTGAATGAATCAAGCCTGCTTCTAAACTGCTCCCTCTGAGAACATCTCTTGACCTCTCTGCTACTCTTTCTTTGAGTTGTAGCCTCTGTGTTACTTTCCTCAACAGATTTCTACTCATAGGAAAAAGATGTAAAGAAAAGTGATTTCGGGAGGAATGATAGATGTGCATTTGAAGAGTATGGCTTTTTAAATTTCTTTTTCTGTAGAATGCATATGATGGAGAAACAAACAATATTTAGTCATTTTTGATGGCCTTCAGTGTACTCTTGGGCTGCTAGCAGTGTCTGGAGAGGTTTGTCTTTTAGGCCAGGCCAGATGCCTTCATAGCTCTCTTAAGCAGTTGACGTGTGTGTGTGTGTGTGTGTGTGTTTGTGGTGGTGGTGGTGGTGGTTTTTGCTATGGATCTTCTTGCTTGTGTAAAATTATGAGGTGGCTAGGTGATTTACTAAAAAATATCATAAATTCTTATTCTTTCTAGACAAGTATTTTGTTCCAACTTGCCATGGTATCAGGTGGTTTTTGCCCTTCCAACAAGACAAATAATGCTGTTTTTTGAGAAATTTATTACTGACTTATACATATACAAGGACCTTATATTCAGCTAATTTTATGTATTTTTGTATTCTTACACTGGCTCCATAGTCTACCTAGTCTTTGCCCTGGACAAACAAGAAGCAAAAGAACAACAAAAATCTCTTTCTCAGCAAAGTTGTTATTTTGGAAAGTGTGGTGCTTTTAGATAATGTAATAAACAATTCAAGGGTAAAGTAATAAGGTTAATGGATGGTTTGGCCATTCAAATAGTATAGGTCAGATTTTAATAACTAACGATTAAATGTTTCATGTTCTTCTAAATTATTTCATTCATTGTTCTTTCTACCAACCTTTGGATCTCTCATGAATGCATGCATGTAATTTAAATAGATCTTGGTACCAGCCTTGTGAGGGCTGACTCCATTTGGATGTTTGTGTTGTGAATGAAGCTGCAGATGATTCAGGTCATGAGAAGTATGCTCAGCAGTATACCTTTTTCTGATGGCAGCAGAGTTGTAACCATGTTCCATCAAGAATTAAAGATTATAATTTCAGGTATATTCTTCTTAAGCAATGTTTCTTAGATTACTGAATTTCTTTTGTAAACAGCTTTACTGAGAAGTAATTCACATACCATACTCATCTAAAGTATACAATCCAGTGGTTTTTAGTATATTAAGTTCTGCAGCTGGCCTTTTGAGCCACACTTCTCTTGCTCAGGCCCGCTTCCACGTCTGAAAGTGTACTTTCTCCTAATAAAACTTTTCTACAGTAAAAAAAAAAAAGTTGTGCAACCATCACTATAGTCTAGTTTTAGAACATTTTCATCACCCTAAAAGAAAACCTTTACTCATTATCATTTACTATGCCCCCTCCCCCCAGCCTCTGGTAGTCACTAATTTTCTGTCTTTGAATTTACCTATTCCGAACATTTCATAGAAATAGAATCATATAATATGTAGTCTTTTGGCGACCAGCTTCTTTCACTAGTATGTTTTAAAGTTCGTTCACGTTGTAGCATGTATCTGCATTATTTCTTTTTATTCCTGAATAGTATTTCATTGTGGATAAGCCACATTTTGTCCATTCTTCAGTTAGTGGACATTTGGGTTGTTTCCACTTCGGGGCTGCTAGAAAAAAAAAATGCTGCTATGAACATTCATGTACAAGTTTTTGTGTTAACATGTTTTTAATTCCCTTGGGCATATGCCTAGTTGTGGAATAGTTGAAACATATTATAACTTATGTTTAACTTTTTAAGGAACTACTAGACTGCTTTACAAAGCAGTTGCACCATTTTATATTCCTCTACCAGCCATGTCTGAGGGGTCCGGTTTCCTCCATCCTTGTTAACACTTGTTATTATCTGTCTTTTTGATTTTAGCCATCCTAGAGGGAGTGAAGTGGTATCTCATGGTTTTGATTTGAATTTCCTAATGACTAATGATGTCGAATATCTTTTGGTGTGCTTGTTAGCTATTTGTATATCTTCTTTGGTGAAATGTCTATTCAGATCCTTTGTTTATAAATTGGATTGTTTATTATGAAGTCATAAGTGCTCTTTATATATTCTGGATGTAAGTCCTTTATTAGGTAGATAATTTGCAAGTGTTTACTCTCTCTTTGGTTTTTCTTTTCCCTTTCTTGATAGTGTCCTTTGCAACACAAATGTTTATTTTGATGAAGTTCAATTTATTTTTTTCTCTTGTTGCTTGTGCTTTTGGTGTCATATCTAAGAAACCATTGCTTAATGTAAGATCATGGAGATTTACTCATATGTTTTCTTCTAAGAGTTTCATAGTTTTAGGTCTTACGTTTAGGTCTGTGATCTATTTTTGAGTTAATTTTTGTGTATGCTATGAGGAAGAGGTCTGACTTCATTTTTTTGTATATGAATATTTAGTTATCCCAGCATCATTTATTGGAAAAAACATTTTTTCTCATTGAATTGTTTACACCATTGTTGAAGATCATTGATCATAAATGTAAGGGCTTACTTATGGATTCTCAGTTCTGTGCCATTGATCTATAGGTCATTATGCTAGTACCACACTGTCTTGATTACTGTAACTTTGTGGTAGGTTTTGAAATTGGGAAGTGTGAGTCCTTCAACTGTTCTTTTTCAAGAATATTTTCGTTATTCTGGGTCCCTTGCATTTTCATATGAAGTTTAGGGCCAGCTGATCAAATTCTACAGAAAAGTGAGGAGTGCATTGAATCTGTAGGTGAATTGGGGAATATTGCCATCTTAACAATATTAAGTCTTCTGAGCTATAAGCATGAGGTGTCTTTCTATTTAGATTTTAAAAATTTCAACTTTTTTTTTTTTTTTTTTTTAAGGATTTATCTGCATTTTCTACTCCTAAATCATTTTGCTCTACTAAGGATCTGGTTTATAATTGAGGTGGGAGAAGAAAATGAAAGGAAGGCACTGTTAAGATACATCCTTTGTTCCAACGGAGATAGTAGACTTTGAATAGGAAATTACATCTGGATGCTTCATTGTAATGCCAAGTATGACCTGCTTGAGGATTGTTAAATCTTAGATCAGGTTCCAGCCAAGCAGCACTATAATGCCATTCTTTGGAATACTTTAAAAACATAAATATTGTTTATCATTCTGGAGTTGTTCAGATGCCAAGAGAGGTAAACCATTTAGCCGTTTGGAGCACCTAGGTAGCTCCAGGAATTTACCATACTTCATTTTCAGTTTTATTTTTTTAATAATAATTTTTCATTTATAGTTAGCATACAATACTATATTAGTTTTAGGTATACAACATAGTGATTAGACATCTCTATAACTCACAAAATGATCACCCCAATAAATCTAGTGCCCCTCTAATGCCATTCATAGTTATTACAATATTATTGGCTATATTCCTTATGCTATACTTTCTATCTCCACGACTATTCGTAACTATCAATTTGTACTTCTTAATCCCCTACCCCTTTTTCACAGACCCCCCTCACCCCCCTTCTGACTGGGTAACCCTCAAAATATTCTCTGTATCTATGAGTTTGTTTTTGTTTTTGTTTATCTTATTCTTTGGATTCCACATATACACGAAATCATGTG